TTAGTCAATCTTTGTAATGATTCTCGTTCGTAAGAATGTATACAAAAATATTTTTCTTTTTGAAAATCTTTTCAATGTTTGTAAGATGTTTAGAAATGTGTGTGTTTGTTTTTGAAAATAGCAAGGATAGTTGTTTTTGAAATGGAGCAAGTAAATAGAAGTAATCTACCTACTCAAATGTCTTTCTTGTTCATTTTCTTTTCCTTTGATATTGTTGTCTTACCATTGATTTGGTAAGCAACCCTATCTTTAGATGTAAACGGGACGGCGTGGGTCATCGTATAGCCATGATTAGCAATGTTGCAAAGTATCTTAGCATTTTTGAGGGACCAAGATTATTTTGTAAGGCAACTTTGAATAGCGTCATCGAGGGACTATGATCTTATACTTGTTTGTTTTGCTAAGATACTTCACATGCGTAATATGGCCATTTTTGTATAAGGCAACCAAGTGGAGTAACCCTAAGGGTGCTTGTGTGCAAGTGTGTTATTTTTATGCTTGGTTTTGTCTTGGATTAGGATTTTCTATTTGATTTGTTTTTATCTTACCATACAAACCCTAATTACTAGCATGTTATATAAAAGCAATAAATTGCGTAATTTAAAGATTACTATGCTATTACAACATTTTATGGGAGGGGGTATACAAATTATGAATGGGGATTTGCAATAATGTAAACCTAATTTAATCTATTACAACCAAATCGAATTTGTACAAATATTTGAATAATATAAATTAAATATGCAATGGCATGTATATGCAAGAAAAAAAAAAGATTTTTGTTTTGCCTTTTTTATATGAAAAAATAGTTTTGAACTAAACTTAATAATTTAAGAAAAGGAAATTATTTTTAGAAATTGATTAACCCTAATTCTAATTTTTTAAAAGAAAATAAAGTTCTTTAAGTATTGTTTTTGTGTATTTTTGTCTTAAAAATAATAAATAATATTTTATGAAATATCTTAGTCCTTTTGTTCATTAGAATAAATATTTACAAGTGTGAGGGAAAAGAAATAAATATTAACCTAATTCTATTTTATTTTACAAGTTTATTTAAGAAAAATAGTTAATATATAATTTAATAAAAATATTTTTTATCAAGAAAATAAAATAAAATAAACAAAATGTAATATTTATCATGTTTTATATTTTTTATGATTTTTTATGTTAAAGAAAATATTTTTAATAAAATAAAAATGAAAATGAAAATAAATAATAAAATGCATGGGCCAGGGGTGTTATAAGGAAAAGGGAGGTGGATGCTAGCAAAAAAAATGAGGCCCAAAGGTGCTGATCCCACGCTGCAAAACAATAAAAAACAAAGCTGAAAAATGCAAAAGCCAGCACCAAGGTTCGAACCCATGACCTATGCAATTTCTGCGTGTTGCCTTGCCACTGGGATGGTTGTACATTCGTTAGTTCAAATGAAACTAAAAATACATAACACAAAATGCTTCCTTGCCCTGTACTTCGTCTTCTTCCTCTAGCTAGTCGGACCCCCTGTATCTCTCTCATTTCTCCATGAAAATGGAAACTTCAAACATGAAAATGGTAGTACTCTTTCCCACGATTTCAACCATGTAACTCATGTAAACTAACAGTCAAAGATCAAAGCTAATTTCACTGGCCCTAATTTCAAACCTAATTTTTACAGAAATTTGAAATCTAAAATTCTCTATACACAATGAATATAAATGAAATCTATGAACATGGTTGGTTTTAGCACACGGATATCTACATTTTATTTTCACAAATTGAGACCAAAGGATGCCTGTATGAAGAGATAGAACTTAGAGTTCTTACCTCTTTCAGCTGAGATTGTTAATGGAGTTTGAGTGAGTTTTGAAAAGGCCTGAGGATCCCTTTAGCTTTCCTGGACCTCCCTGAGTGTGTTCCAATCCTTACCTTGCCTTGAAAGTGTCTGAATCTCCCTATCCAAGTCAACCTGCAAGCTTGAAATTCAAAAATGGAAGATGGAGAAGGAGGAGTTACAGTGAAGGGATAATGGTCTAGAACACTTAGATATGATGTAGGTTAAGTGTTTGGGTGATTAGAACTTGAAACGCACGAGTAGATTTTTGGATTGCTATGCTTGATGCAAAACTGCAAGTTATGGCAAATTTTTGGTGATAGAGAGTTTGGGAGAGTTTCTGGACTTTAGCAATCGTGTGTTAGGTTGTAATATGTTTGTGTATAAGTACAGAAAAGGTTTTAAATCAAATCCACACCAGGCTTCTGAGTTGTAGACTTTTTGCTCTATTGCTTGCCTTTTAAGAAAAGTGAGGAGACAACTCTCTACATGCTTGTACATGCCTGATTTGAGTTGGTACAAGTCTTAGACACTTTACTTTTGGTTTATAGGGCTTGTGTGTGCAGAGAGAATAGGTGCAAAGCTCAAGGAGTTGACAAATGCAAAAGTGGTGCTTTTCTAAAATGGAAATGGCAACTTTGTGCCATTTATGGAATTAAAGCTTGGACAAAGGCTCCTATGCTTGGATTAAAGCTTTATCAACTGTGTAAGCATTAAATTATGGAGTGAGAAACAAGTTTGAGACCTGTAAAGCAAGGATTATGCAGCCTAGGTTTGGATTTGAATTTTGTTCTTCATGAAATGGCTTGAAATCAAAGTGAAAAATTGTCAACTTCTTCTCTTTGATTCTCCCTACTCAAGAATGATCTCAATGAGTTATTGGACATTTTGGAAAGCTTGCAATGTGCTCTATAACTTATATTTGAATTTCTTTCCAATATTACTCTTTGAACTATGTGAAAAATTGCCATGAAGTTAGGTCAAAAACCTGCCTAAATTAGGGCAAAATTTCACTAAGTTATTTTAGTTCATGAGCATGTATTCACAAAATTATATCTTGAGATCCAAACATCTTAAGGAGAAATTGTGTGAAGCAAAGTTGTAGATTTCATGGAGATCTACAACTTTCATGTTGGGAACTTTATTTGAATCATCTTGTATCATGGTGAGAATTTGACTTAAAGTTGGAAAAAAATAAGAAATTTTCTATACTTAGAAAAATTTCTAAGTTAAGAAAATTTCAAATTATAAAACAAAATCTTTAATCTTTGATTTCTTGATGAACAAGTTTCACATCTTGACATGTTTTGATGAATTTTGATCCTTGGCATTTGAATTTGACCAAAAAGTCAAAGTTTGACTTTTCAGTATACAGTTGACTGCAAAATTTATTTGTCAATCCAATGGAATTGCAATGTTTTGAACCATGTCATTAGGTCAAGATAATGAATTGAACTCTTGAAATCATACTTCAAACCAATTGATCATTTTCTAGGTCAAAAATCAGAAATTGCCCTTTCTCAGTCAAAACCCTAATTTTGACCATTTTGCCCTTTTGATGATTTGATCAAATTTCTTGAGGAATTATGGTCCAAACTTGATCAAATGATACATATGAGTCTAAAATGTTGATGTGGACAAAAAATTATGATGTTTGACTGTAAATTGGCCATGGTTGACTTTTCCCCAATACAACTGATTTTTAGGTCAACTGTCAAATTGACTGATCAAAAATGTGATTCAAGGCTTGAAACTTGACATGAGTAAACTTAGGGGTCCATAATGATACTTGAAAGTCATATGAAGCATTGGTAGCCCAAAAATCCTTCTGCAATCTCAAACCCTAATTTTGGGTTATCAGTGCTTGATGAGATGTCTTGAGCTGGTCAAACCTTAATCCAGTCTTGAGTCAAAGAGATCTTGTGAGAAAAATCTTGATAAATGAGATGGCAAATTTTGGGGTACAACAACTGGAAATTCTAAAATTTTCGAAAATTATCAATTTTTTGAACTATCAGAAATTTTGAAAATCCAGATAAAATGGATTCAAAAAATTTAGATAATTTCATAATTTTTGGTAAAAACTTCCGGCAATTCTATAGTTTCTGGTAAATAACTCACAACTTCGGGTAACCCTCAAGAGTTGGTTTAGCAGTGAAAGCTTAGGTCTTGAGAGTATGCTCCTCCCAAGGTCCTAGATTTGAATCTTGCTAGATGCTAACAATTCTTACGTTGGGTCAGTCCATACAGAATTTTATTCTGACTTTAAAATAGTAACTACCCGAACGATTCGTTTTTTATAAAAGTTGTTTTCTCACTCATGTATAACCTTTAATTTAACATCACTCCTGCTGTTTTTTTTAATATACTGGATTATTTTATTGTTTCAAATATTAAATCATAAATATCCATCACTTTTATTTAAGAAAAAATTACAATAAATGATAAAAATTTTAAACTTTATTTGGTAGTTTAGATGGAGGGGAAGAGATCGAAAACTTTTTTTTTTTAAATATTTAAATTTTTATTTAAATTTTTTCATAAAATAAAAAAAAAATATTTATAATTATTATATTTATAATTTTTAAATACTATAATATAAATTATATTTGAAAAAGATTATGTAAATCATTTAAATCTTTTTTCCAATATAATTTCCAATCAAAACCTTATGAAAATATAAAACAATTGCATTCACAAACCGATTTCAAAGTGAAATCTTGCAACATTAAAATGCCCTTGAATTTCTTAGTTCTGCATTTGAGAGTAACCAACCATCACTATCCAATTCAATTTACTTTTCTCTTACTGAAATTAATTTATTATTATTTGTATATAAAAACAAATTGTACACGAGACGACAAAATATAGTAGTATGTATAGTTTATATTGCCCTTTCCACTAGACTTAACAACTCTCTCAGTGTGCAATAAACGTAACCTTATTAAAGTAAAAAAATATTCCACTGATCCAAAGCTAGTTCTCGAGGGAGAAAAAGTTGCAACTTCTGAATTCGTGGGTTGCTGTTTAATTCTAATTCTAATCCAAGTTTATCTCTTCAACTTATTAATTAATCCCTTTAGGTTTTCGTTAACTGATTAAGCAAAATTAAACTCTGAATTCAGTTCTAAACGCGTGGATTCAAATGCTCAACTTCTAACACTCTTCTTCCTCTTCATCATCGATCACGATGCTACCTGGTTAACTTTTTTTCCTTCTTCTTTCCTTGTTTATGCATATTATTCACTGATTCCTATAGTTTTATTCAATTTTACTGTGATTTGTTTCATGAATTTACTTTACCTGAACTCAAATTCAATTCATTGAAATTCTGACTGTACTTGATGCCTATGTTTGGTAAAAAAGTTATTGCTACTTAGTTTGTTTAATTATTGTCATTTTTGAAGATATATGCAATATTCTTAGCTAGTGGTGGTCACACTGTGTGGCCCCGATTTTTTTCGACATAATTTCTGTTTCAGTTGATTAATTTGGATATGTAGAGTTCTGAGTTATTGGTTTAACACAAGGTTTGTTGATTTGTTATGGCAGGTTTGCAATACAATATCGATGATTTGTTTCAAGAAGCTAAGAAAAGATGGCTCAAGCCTATAGAAGTGTTTTACATTTTGCAGAATCACGATGCGTGCAAGTTCACCGAAGTTCCTGTTAACCAGCCACGCGGTAAATTAACATCCTTGTTCTCTAATTATTCGTGCTTATTACTGATTGTTAACAATGTTGGCGATTGATTCTTTGTGAAAGATGGATCGGTGCATCTGTTTAATAAAAGAGTCATGCGTTTCTTTCGGAAAGATGGTCATAATTGGCGGAAGAAAAAAGATGGAAGAACTGTGGCAGAAGGACATGAACGGCTTAAGGTGCATTAACATTGCTATCTTATAGATACCTTTTGTGACAACATTTGTTTTGACATGTTGATTTTCTCAATCAATCTGAGTGATCATACTGTTCTGCACCATTAGGTTGGAAATGTTGAAGCCCTAAACTGTTACTATGCACATGGAGCAGAGAACCGTAGTTTCCGGAGGCGAAGTTATTGGATGTTGAACCCGTGAGTTAATTATTAGCTGTCTACAAACTCTTCATATTATTAAGTTTATCATGTAAAATTGTTTGGAAAAAAATATACAGTTATAATTTTGACCAAGATAAAATTCGGTTGCCTTTGAAAAACAATCAGCCTTTTGTATGCATAATGACACAAAAACATGCACATTTTGTAAAAAGAACATGGATAAAAATACAATACGCGTATATTTTTTTACCAAAATCAAATTATACCGACTTATAAAAAACAGTCTTCGGTAGGCATTATTAATCTGAAGATGTTTTCATTTGTTATTATGTTGTAATGGGTGTTTATATTTGGTCTTTCGCTGTTGTCTTGACAGGGAATATGAACATGTTGTTCTTGTGCATTACAGAGAAACAAATGAGGTGATTTTTCAGAACATTACATCAGATAAGCACAGTTATTGTAATTGCAGCATTTTAGACATGTGGAAACTGGGAGTAGGAGCCCATTCTGTAGAGGACTTTGATTAATTATGTTGTTATCAAATTCTCTCTTATAATGACTCAACTTTCTGAATGACAATTACTTGATTACATTCACCGTGTGAATACATAGTCTGTGCAGCCTTCCTTTGAGTTTGATATTATTGTTTACACCCATATGTTACAGGGGACACCCAATTCTAGTCCTGTCACACAATTGTCAACATTTAGTCACAGTCATAGGTCATATACTCCTCAAAACCCTGAGACAACATCAATAGCAGGTGATTCATGGGAACTCAATCAAAATTTCTCAAGCCCTCCTGGGTATTTAGAAGTTACCTCTGGTATCATGAATAATGGAATGGATCACTTGGAGAAAACAGATGCACAAGCTTTGCGCCAGTTGGAGGAACAGTTAAGTTTGAACGGGGACAACTTCAAAGAAACTTGTCCCTTTTATAGTGAGCATGCAATACCATGTGGAATTTCTGGTGCCTTCTCTGGACCAGATGATCATAAACAACTACACGAGGGATATAATGGAGCAAAAGGTAGTTTAAACAAATTTGCATGATAAAGATTAGTACGTTCTTTTGGGGGTGGCGGGTTCAGTTATTACATGTTTTATTTTAGTCAAACATTTTAGTTAATTCATATGTTGAGCATGGATCCTAAAGTAGACCTGCGTTTTGCACGACCTACCAAATAAAATCAGTTTAAAATTCTGTTTTAATTACAAACATTTTGTATTGTTATACAGTAATCATTATAATTTTATTAGTTTAACAAAAACAACATTGAAGGTAAGCTACTAGGTTCAGTAATGAAAGTGAATTGGTTGAGGAGAAAAGTGCTTTGAGGAGATGTAAGAGAATTGATCTTTTAATTAGTTAGTGGTCAATCATAAAAAAAAACCCAGCTATATAGATATACTTCTTTTTTTACAAGAGCTATGTAGATATACTTAAAAGCACTAAAGAGATGAATGTTAGGAATGGAGGCTAAAAGTACACTGCATTAAATGAGAGAAGTTAGACAGAATGGGTGAAAATCATTCTTGCTATAGAAATACCACTATAGTAAGGTCCAAGAAAATAATGGATCCATTGCTAATTTATTTTCGACAACCTTACCATGAAACTTACTAGAGGATAATTCCACGATTTGAGTCCGTGTTCTCTAGTCGCACGGCAGCAAATCCAACGGTCACACCAAAGCTCCCCTTTACATATTGTGAACAAGTAATCAAGAAAAAGAGGTTCTACACTAAGATTGTGCCTCACAATAACGTTTCCTGTATATGGAATCACTCCGATAAGAACTCAAAGGGATCCTAGTTAAAATACATTAACCATGCAAAACAGTCTTTTAAGTATTGAATGTGGATAAATCTTTATTTTATGTAATAAATGAAAAAGTAGTTTATATTTATTTGTTCACGAGAAGTTACATTAAAAAATAGTCTGGTTATAATAAAATTATTATTGCAGCATTTCATTGCAAAATTAATTATTAGTCCATTAAAATCCTTTAAATATTTTTTCAACTGTCTCATTATGCTATGGATCAGATTCAATTTATTCTACAAAAATGCTTTGTGGTTTGTTTTCTCTCCTTAATGTTATTAAACATAAACAGTAAAGAGAGGAAAAACTTCTAATACTTGTGCATTTTCTATAGATGGAAGTGGTAATCATTATCATGAATTACTTGACCATGATTGCCCTGGTGGGCAAGAACAAACCTTATCTTGGACAGAGATGCTGGAAACATGCAAGTTCTCATCAGTGAGGAAGTTACCAGAACAACATACATTTGAGGCATCTGAAAATGTGAGTAATGCCAAGCTATATTTCACATTGTAAAGAGTCGGTAATGTACTTTTGTTAAATTTACAAATAACTTATGTATTTGTGCATTTCATGAATCCACTATGTTATTTACAGCTGTTATTTAAATATTATTGATGTTTAGTTTTCTTCTATGACTTGTAAAGAATAAAATTTCTATACTTGAAACAGGAAAAGTTACTATCTTCCTCAGCAAGAGAAATGATTGCCAACCAGGAAATCAATTATCCGCTAAACCTCAACAGTAATAATGATGAGAACTGTATTGCTTACTTTAACCTTAATAACTTGATAATTTCACTTTTGGGCACATAATGGAATTTCTTTCTCCTCTGATTCATGTTCTATATCATCAGCTGTCTTTGCATTTCCTCAAGATGTTGGCGGAGTAAAATTTTTTCCATATTCTTCGGTCGAAACTCAAGGAACTACTTCAGACTACTATGAAAGACTGTTTGACCAATGCCAAATTCAGGAACCTCGAGATCCATATGCATGCTTGACTATTGAACAGAAACAGAAATTTAGAATCACAGCTGTCTCCCCAGAATATTGTTATGCCACTGAGGCAACAAAGGTTTTCTCTTTTTTATTCCTACTATATTGGGCTCTGTATAATGATTTATGACAAATGTGTATTAGTGAATTCTATCTTCTAAATGATGGAAGTATAATTCCTTTTGATTAATCTTATTGGTGCTTCCTTCTTAGCTTTACTTGGTTCCTGTGAGGTGCATACACAACATGTTCGACATATATATGAGAGTTATTTGTATATAATGCAATTATTAGTTTGGGAAATGTCATGAAAGCTCTTTGCATAACTATTTCTAAGTTCTTTCCTCTCCAAAATAATTATTTTAATTTTCTGGATGATGTGATACAGAGGCTATTGCCTTTGATGCTGCATATATTTTGAATCCTAAACTCCCAAGTTCCATGCGTAGGTGCTCATTATTGGATCCTTTCTCTGCCCTCCCTCGGATTCTACCTGGGGTTGTATGTTTGGTGATGTTGAAGTTCCTGCTGAAATGGTACAGGATGGCGTAATGTGTTGTGAGGCGCCATCCAATCTTCTTGGAAAGGTTACTCTGTGCATTACTTCAGGAAATAAAGAACCATGCAGTGAAATCAAAGAGTTTGAGTTTCGTAGTAAGACCAATAGTTGCACTCATTGTAATATTTTGGAAACAGAAGCTGCCAGAAGTCCAGAAGAGCTGTTATTACTTGTTCAATTTGCAGAAATGCTCCTTTCTGCTTCTACTATGAGGGATGACAGCACAGAATCTGGAAGTCTTCTTTCAACAGAACAGAAAGTAGATGATCATTCTTGGGGCCATATTAGAGATGCCATCCTAGTTGGCAATGGAACATCATCCGGTACTATTGATTGGCTTCTTCAAGAGCTGCTGAAGGATAAACTGCAGCACTGGCTTTCTTGCAGATCCAATGAACGAAATGAAAGGGAAGGCTGTTCTTTGTCCAGGAAAGAGCAAGGGATTATACACATGGTTTCTGGATTGGGTTTCGAGTGGGCCCTAAACCCCATTCTCAGTTATGGCGTGGTTGTTAATTTCCGTGACATCAACGGTTGGACTGCCCTTCATTGGGCTGCACGATTTGGAAGGTAATGGAAAGCTGAGATTTTGATAGTAAGCATTGCTTCAAGGTTTCAAACAAAATATGATTGATAAACTTTGTTTAGAATCCTTTACTTTTTCTTTTGGGAGAAGGAAGTGCTTATACAAGGAAAGAGAACAGGGTGGAGAAACTAAGCCTGTCTTAATACTGGAAATTGATAGGTTATAAAAATTATGCCCACGTATAATAAAATGCTTCACGTGTCAGAAATTATTGAGTAGGTTTCAGTAATCACTGAAGATTTATATAAAGCTTAATCAATCATAGCAAATGCTTAGTTTTATTTCAACAACAAAACTCTTTTCGCAACATATGAGCTCAGTTACATTAATTAAATGCTGACATTGTGTAATGTCAAAAACTCAATTTTTGTGAAGGTCGTTTGAATAAAACTGTTTATGGTTTATCCGGTAGTTTTCTTTATCTCATTTGACCATCCTCCATATGATCAATTATTCTCGTGAAAACCTGAATTTCTCTCTCAGAATATCAAATGATTTCAGACCAGATTCGGTCATAAATGACAATCAAATCATGATTAAAAATCATGCTTTTAGAAGAAATCTTTGTGAATTAGTTGTTCCATTCTTAATGTTCTGGATGTTGTATTGTACTAACAAATTATTTTAAATCATGGTAGGGAAAAAATGGCTGCTTCGCTTATCGCTGCCGGTGCATCTGCTGGAGCAGTGACAGATCCAAGTTCACAAGATCCAAATGGTCTAACTGCTGCATCTATTGCGACCAGCAAAGGACACAAGGGACTGGCAGGTTATCTTGCAGAGGCAGATCTAACATGTCATCTGTCATCCCTCACAGTGGAAAAGTGTGAAGTTTCTAAAGATTCTTCTGAGCTTGAAGCTGAGTTAACTGTCAGCAATCTGTCTAATAAATATCTTGAAGCCAGTGATGATGAGGTTTCACTAAAAAAAACCTTGGGTGCTGTCAGAAATGCAGCTCAGGCTGCTGCACTGATACAGGCTGCTTTTCGTGCACTTTCTTTCAGAAAACGGAAAGAGGAAGAAAGTGCACGTGATTACAGAAATGCAACTCGGGCAGCTGCAAGGATACAGACTGCTTTTCGTGCTCATTCTTTCAGAAAAAGCAGAGAGGGAGGATGTGCTTGTGATTACACTTCAGCTGCCTTATCAATTCAGAAGAAATATCGAGGTCGGAAAGCTCGCAGGGAGTTCTTAGTTTTGCGCCATAAAGTTGTTAAGTTACAGGTAATAGATATTATGTTACTGTTACATTTTTGAAGACATTGAATTGAGAACTTTATATGTGGATATCAGCAATCTAGATGCTTTGAAAAGTAAATAAAATTGTTTTTGTGTGTGTGTGATTGAGAGAGAGTGAGATGACATGCACGAATCACACTGAATCAAGAACTTCAAATTAACCTCATATTTTCTATAAAAATTTGCTTGCGCAGGCTCATGTGCGCGGTTACCAGGCTCGGAAGCAATACAAGGTAATGATATGGGCAGTTGGAATCTTTGACAAGATTGTGCTAAGATGGCGGAGAAAACTAGCTGGTTTGCGAAGATCTCCAGAGGAAATAGATTCGAAAGAAGAAAATGATGAAGATTTTCTAAAGGTGTTCAGGCAAGTGAAAGTACATGAATCAATTAAAAAGGCTTTGGCGCGGGTGCATTCTATGGTCCCATCTCCACGCGCTCGTCAGCAATATAATCGCTTGCTTCAGATGCATGATCAAGTCAAGGTATATAGGCTAAAAGCAAAAATAAAAAATATGGGACTTGGATCCCTTCAGTTAATATCTCAGTTATTTTAGTTTAATCCCACTATTTGCTTTCAGAAGTAAGATGAGTAATGTCAGTGAAGAGTGGCGCTAGCAGCACCCGCTCTAACACTCTCTTTTCATGGTTTCCATCATATTCGTAACGGGCCTTTCATCCAATAAGAAAGTGGATATTGAAAAGATAGTGTTAGGATGAGTGTTGCTCGCACAACTCATGCCAGAACTTCATATATTATCTTTCTGCATATTATTATCAAGTAAAACTCGATGCTAATCTAGATCTTATTAAATAACATGAATTCATTATTTGTTACTGGCACCCATATGATATTTTATCTACCAATAGAAGTAAGATTAACAAAAAGAGCTTCTTAATTCTTATAATGCATTGTTAGCATTTCTCTTAAAGTATCAGGAATTCTTAAAGTATCAGGAATTAGATAAACATGCAGAGCTAACAAAATCGTTGACTTGAGAGCTCATCCCATTTGAACTATGCATAACTCATTAATTATCTTACAGGCTGAATATGGCAATACACATGATGAAACTCTGTCATCAACTTCTGTAGAGGGTTCTTGGATTATTAAAGATGATGACTTATATCAATTTCCTTTGGAAACTCAGTTATCAACTTCTATAGAGGGTCCTTGGATTCTAGAAGATAATGATTTATATCAATATCCTTTGGAAACTCCGTTATCAACTTCTGTAGAAGGTCCGTGGATTATTGAAGATGATGGTTTATATCAATTTCCTTGGGAAACGCTCTAGTCTTCCTTGTTTTATTTGGGTTTCTAGCTTTACTGTTTATATATAGTTCTTGTATTTGGGTGTGTTGAACAGCCTTTGAAGCTGTAGCTTGTAAATCAGTCTAGGTTGTATATAGTGATTATGGCAATGGACGTTTTCACTTTAGTATATGTACAAAATGGTCTCGATTGCGAATAGGACCGGGTTTCAAAGTCAATAGAGTAACCATGTTAATTATCCAATAAACAAGATTTTGGTAGCAGTTTGAATATGTATATGTTGAGGTTTAGATACACATTGACTAAGTTGTTGGACAAGTCATGTCTAATTGTAGTAAAACTAGATTTCCAATCCGTGTCGAGCATGGGAGTATTTGAAATAAAATTCCATTATTTTATAATAATTAATATTTAATTTTTTATTTGCATATAAAATTATCATAAAATTATCTTGTAGGCTATTTAGATTATATTTACAGTTATATTATTAATTTTTTAATGAGAAACAATAATATAAAAAGTGTTTTATATTATTGTTTTTTTTAGGATATCGGAAGATCTATTAATGGTTCTATTAGTGTTTTATATTATTGTTTTTTTAGATTATATATATATATTAAATTTAATGATATGAAATTTCTATTTTAATTCAATTTTTTTAGATATGAATATTTTAACTTAACTATTAATAGCAAATAAGTAACAATTCTGAACAAATCTAATAATAATTGTTAATAGGTTTTAGAATCTGAGAAGTGTAATAATAAATAATGAACTATAAAATTTTAAAGAAATTAAGTATAATAATACCCTTATAATAATTAATAGTATAATTTCTTATAATGCTAATATTTAAAAGAATTGAATAAAATATGAATATGAGCTATAAGTATTCTTAATAAGAATAATATATTTATCATTTATATTAATTATATTGTATCTCATCATTGTTTAAATATAATAATATTTAAAATGAGATAATAATCATTAATGTTTAAATCATTTATTTTCGTAAAAATGATATTATAATTGTCTTCATCAAAATCAAATCTGCAATGCCAAAAATTAGAAATTAAACTTAAAATTAGCATTCAATAAAATCTATATTTTATAATCACATTAACAAAATATAAGTTTGATTTCAAAAAAAATATAAGTTTCATTTCTGATCTTACCAGTTGATCAGAACTTGAAGTGGAGCGAGAAGATGACGTCTTCTTGGTTGGAAATCTGAGGAGAGAATGGGAGTGTACCTGCAAGGCACTCTGACGCTCAAGTGAAAAAGAGTGCAAAGATATACAAGAAAGAGATTAGAGTTTTCTAGAGTGATCATTGGATACCTGACCCTCACATTGTGAGGATTTATATAATGCTACAGACGCGTAGCCATTGGTTCTTATTTTTGGGCCTAAATATTGGATTTCACAAAAATAGGTAACTGTCATGACTTGGTCAAAACAGACAGTCATGCTCGTAACTAGTCGTTGTTCCGAGCAAGGAGGATATTACGGGCAGGCGCGTTTGTGAGCGCTTCCTGGTTGTCTGCTCTATGGTGTCGGGTAGACTTGGAGGTGGATGTTGATGCGAGCAGACGCGTGGTCATGACATCATTATCCTTGCCAGTCTTGTGGTGTGGCCGATCAAGCGTGCTCGACCGAAGACCAGAGTCGTTAGGTTATGCTGGAGGTAGAAGCGGATTGAGTCAATTCTAGTTATTGGACCAGTCCAGAACAATTTCAAATCTTCTTTACAGTGGCACCAAGTAGTACCCATTGCTCCAAATATATTTATAACAACCTTAATATCAATAACACTCATCATCAGAGAAAGAAGAAAGAGGAGACGGGGAGGAAAAACAAATAACAAGACATTAATGTCAGAAACAAACCTCTTAATATCGATGAAGGGAAGCATCAGCAGTAACCTGTTGGGAAAAACCAAAACAACAAACATCACAAGAGCAAAGGGAAAAATCCGATAATCAAAGACAACGAAAGAGACAAAATGAGAAAGGCTCGACTGATGATAAAAACGGATGTGAACCTTGCAAAATATGGAGAATGGAACCTGGGAGATATATTCGATGATGAGAATAGTAACAAGATATCAGAAGCTACTTGGAATTAACGAGGCAATAACAACCCGATTAAAGAGGAAGCGCAAGCTATCATCAATGCAATCACGGTAGCCAGAATCATGGAAGGGCGGAACATCACGATTAACACTAATTGCGAAAGAATCGTGAACGACTTGAAACGGAAGAGAAGCGAGGGCGACGACAACAAAAACATAAAGCATTTGTGATACCAACTTAAGCAGATAAACTAAACCCTTAAAAGCTTTGAGTGTAGCCAAGTTAAGCACTTTAGCAGGGACAAAAATCAACAAGCCCATTATATGGCCCAATTAGCAATTGATAGGAAAAACCATATAATCATGCATAAGCCCAACAACAGTGTAATCAAGGCTTTCAAATCAATTTTTGAGTAATGCCTACTAATAAAACTAAAACACAAAATTTTACATAAGAGCTCTGCACCGATGAATAATATTCTCAACGCATCTGTTTATATTTTTATGCTTTGAATGTTATTTTCCATTTACAATTGAAGACATCATTTGATTTCCAGAGTTTCAGTCAGGCTAGAGTCAATAATAACTACATTGAAATTCTGATATCAGATTTGTGATATCGAATGAGATGTCATGACACAAATATCTGTTTGCAAGTAAGGTGCAGTAAAATCAAAAGCAGTAAAAACACAAGAGATTGTTCACCCAGCTCAGTGTACAACAACACCTACTCTTTAGGCTACCAAGCCAGGGACAAGTTCACTAAATAGTATCAATTCATAGACGCTCAGTAAACAACCAGTTTACGATCTAATCACTTAATCACTATCCAAGCTAAACTTTTACCTAAGACTCAACCTAGGTATGAGGCCATCCTCAAATCCCTTCAATCACTTACAGTGAAGAACTTAACAAAATTAATAAGTTTGAAACACTTAAATCATTCAATGCTTAAAAGCTTATGAATGATACACAATTAATAACCCAAATAACAACTCAAGTATTTAAACTAATACTTAGAGTATTACAAATAAAAAGCCTAGACTTCTAATCAGAAAGAAAGTATTCTTCTTCGAAAGTTGCTTGTCATTGAATAAGGAAGCAAGCCCTTATATATGAGAAGCTTTGGGTTTGGGCTTAAAAACAAATATTCAAATCTTTTGAATATTTCCATAAAAACAGGTCAAGATAAAATTATGCAATTTGAAAAATATTCCTCCATATTTTTCGCAGCCTGTAGTTCACAAATCCTGAATTATGCCACACATGAAAATGGGAAACAAAAGACTTAACTGATGTTGGGCTGAGATCAGTTCAGTAGACAGATGTCAAGACACCTGCTTTGACATCATTCAAAACCGTTTTTCTCCTAATGTTAAGACATTTAGCAAAACGTTAGCAAGTCATTATTTTACCAAAATTGCTACCAACAAACACTTACAAACTCCCTCTTTGGCAAATTTTGGCTAAAACATTGTTAGAGCATATTATCAGAGCAGCAACACAATTATCAGAGCATTATCAGAGCAGCAACATAAGCAAAGCAATCAAAATATACATTCAGTTAGCAGTTAGCTATTAGCACATGAAGATGTCAAAACATCTTCTGGGACATGAGGCTCTTCTGGGACATGAGGCTCCCCCTCAAGTATTGAGCTCCCCCTCAATCAATGGTCAGTGGTTAGTGGTTAGCCAGTCACTCACTCACTTTCTCTCCCCCTTTTTAGTCATAATATGCCAAAGAAAGGATGAAATCAAGATAATATCAGTATTAGGGTACATACCATATAATTAAAATGTCAAGCACATACAAGTGCCAAAAAGAGAAACAAAGAGTTCAGAGAGACATCAAGTAGTCTAACTGTCATCAGGACCAGTTGATTTGTTTGAACCAGAACTTCTTTCCTCACTGGAGTCTTCACCTTCAGAGCTCACTGCATCATCAAGGTTTCTATCCTTCTGCAGGTCCTTGATCATCTTTTCAAAAATTAGCTTCCTAGCTGAGCTCACTCTGATCACATCATATAATTCCTTGCAGGCTTCCCTTAGTTCATTGATCATTTCATCCTTAGTGGAGGTCTTGTTTTTAGCAGTTGAAGATGTCAAAACAATGTCTGGGACATGCTTTCCTGAAAAAAGCTTAAAGTGAAGTGTTAAGGCAGAATCCCTCTTGCACACTACATCATTACCATTTAGGATTCCACTTTTCAGCATTCCCAACAGAGTTAAAGGAGATGTTGTCAAGTGGGGCATCAGGAACCCTAACAGACAGTTTCTCACTTGAAGATATTTTAGAGGAGAGATGTCTTGGACATCTTGCTCGACATCATACTCAGAGTCCTTCTCTTCAACTAGGGCAGCTTTTTTATTACTCTTGGATCTTTTTACAGCGTCCTTATCATCATCAGTAGAACTAACAAGTCTAGCCTTTCTTTTGCTAGAAGGGGGGGACCATTTTACTTCCTGCTTTTGTGGGTCCATACATGGTTTTCTTCTTGATTTTTTTGGAAGGGGGTGTGATACTTGCATCCTTCACTTTCCTGGACTTTAGCCTTCTTGAAATACCAGGTACAACATTAGTGATGAGATCATTGTCAGAGAGATCTTCTACAGTGACTATATTGTCAGCATTTTGACCTTCTCCGTCCTTGGGGACAGCAACATCTTCTTTAGAGGGAGATTTTTCTTCAACATTTTGTTCAACATTTTGATCAACATCTTGATCAACATCTTCTTCTTCCACTTCTTTTAGGGCAGAGGTAGCAAGCTTCTCAAGTTTACTATTAGCAGCATCTTTCTTGGATGATCCAGCAACATCATTTTTAGGATTACTTCCTTTGTCAGCAGGAGGAGGCATGCGAGCAAGGGGAGTATAACCCCAGGCACAACAAAGTCTTCATTTAAAACTCTATCCACAAGCCTTCTGATGCGTCTATCAACATTGAAAAT